AAAATCGTAGAACGATTGCATCAGCTCCTGAAGCTGTCAGCATGGGTATCAACTGGTGGGGAAGATTGGCGCAAAACGATACTGGGTCAAGATCCATCAACACACAGTAACAGACAACGAACGAATGCAAGTAATTTTTAAAATCTATAACTGACAGCTTCAGGACAACCAGTCGAAATCCTAAGATTTAGAAATATCAAAAAAAAAAAAGCCACGGAAGTTCTGAAGATGTCTGAACACAGGCATTAGACAAATGAGAATTATCGAGTACCCCGTCCTGCACATTATCTACTGCTCATGTCCGGAGAAAAATCCACATTGCATGCGAATTATTACTACCATAGCCCCGTTATCCTAACAAATGTGCTAGGTCACCTGCCATTTTCTCAGTAAATAATAATTCTTTAAAATGTTCAAAAAAGCCGTTTCCCGATTCAGGACGAAAATACCAGTAATGCTGTATGGTACCATAAAAAAAAAAACCAGTACAAAAGTACACTACCGACTGGGAGAAATTAAAACAAGCAAGGCCCAAAAACAATGAATATGCCGAGTTCTTCCGATCTTTTTCAGAAGAATTATTTAAAGCTGTTCTGGAACCCGTGTGTGGACGAGATCAGCCGTGACCCAAAGAAGCACACCACAGCGGAACGAACCACCCAGCCAAACAAACTATGCACAAGGTGTGAACTCTCGCAAAAAATTAATAAAACATTTAAGCATTAAACACAATTAAACGTGACTTCATTTAGTTCCACGTGACCACTTTCCAGCATCCTAGCAACACCATATGCCAGGGGAGCACCGGAATACAGCATAGATTTTGCCTCATCACAAATCCACGCACCTTTCGTCTAGGATGCGATTGTAGAATCGCTTTTCAAGCGGATGATATAAAAATGCATGCATTTACGAGTGGCGATCCCGGCTTACAATTGCGAGGTTTTTCCCAGTACAGCGCAGGTACAGTCAACAAAAGAAACTTCGGGGACAGCGGACGAATGGAACTGATCTTCCTCAGAAGACTAGCAAGTGATTGCAGAGTGGGTGCGTTAATTTCACAACGAAAAACTTAACACTTTTTTCAACTTTCTTTCAAAGTTTCTCAAAAAAAAAAAAGAAAAATCAAAGCAAAAAAGAAATCAAAATATGACAACTTCAGCGATATTAAAATAAAGCAGTATGAAATATGTTCACTGTTTCTTTTCAACTCCTTTGGCGACTGGCGGAAGATGCTGTTCCGCTGCTGCTGCTGCTACTGGATGTGCAGCACTTGCCAAGTCTGGGGAAGTACGTGGCGCTGCAGGCGCTTCAACTGGCATCGACGACTGCTGCTGCTGCAGCTGTTGCGCACTCTGCGAGGAGTGACTTACGTTCTGAAACAATAAATATAATATTTTAAAGCGATGTTCTAGAAAAATTGAATAAAATAGCATAGGTGCGTTATTTTAACATTTGATATATATCTTATATAAAACCATTTGAAACCGCAGTCGTTATACGGACGAGGTTCAGTTGTGGTGCTCATTAGAAATTTATACGATTTCAAGGACCAAAACATTTCTGAATAACAAAGGCGTTTTAGGCTAAGGAGTCGTAGACATCCGCTGAGTACCAAACTGGACCACGTCAGAACGACGATTGTGGTTTCAAATGACTTTACATAAGATACAGGTCAAATGTAGTCAAAAAGACAATAAAATAAAACAAATATAGAATAAATGGAACAAAACAGTTCAAACAGAGAAGCAAAGTTTATAGAATCGGACGAAAATTTCATGGCTCGCTTAATTTTCCGGACTGTTTCGTACAGTTATTTTGTTCGATACAGT